GTCTTGATTGGGTGCTTTTGAGGACTCGTAGGAGTCACAGTTCGAGGGTCTAAGAGATTAATTCTTGGGCTGAATCTCTTGGACCTGCTGGTTGCCTTCAAGAAAGGTAAATACCTCAATAAATCAGCCTCAGATTCTTCAGCCTAGGGTTGTGAAGGTGAAGAGTTCCCTTCCTCCTGACAACATCTTCCTGGAATGGAAAGGGGATGGGCAGATCTTTCTCTTAAACCTGCTCTGCCTTTTATAACCCCGTATATATTTTTTTATTTGTTTGGGGCCTGAACAGCAATGAGAACCAAGTGACTTGATTTTTCAACATTCCTGGTATTAACAGAGACCAAATTTCTAACCCTTTTGGTTCTCAGCATTGCTGGGTGTCTCTTTGCTGTGGTAGATTTCGCCCCCCACGGGAGGTTTTTAGGAATCCCCTGTACCTCAGCCAAACCGAAGGAGAGCTGCGCCCTCAAATACCCAAACAAGGGTCTCTTCTGCCTTTGAGCTTCTCCGTTTTGATGTGTTAATCGCAGGCCGGTCTCCTCACGAAAATCTGGTGCCGTGTGACGTGTTGCTGCTGCGTGGACGGTGCATTGTAGACGAAGCGATGCTGACGGGAGAGTCCGTGCCGCAGATGAAGGTCTGTGAAACATCCCCTACGTTGTCCCTTTGTTACAACCTGGAAAAGTAAAAACATCCCGGGCACCGCAGCGTTGGCGAGTGCAGAGTAACCTCTGTGTGCGAACGCTGGCCGGGGCGGCCTGCTCTGTCTGTTACCAGCCCCCTGTCAGTGATGGGTGGGCTCTGGTGAATGAGAAAGGGTCTGCTTTGTCTGGCAACGACTCCAGCCTTTAGGTCTGAACCCTGTTTTGTGGGCATGGTGTTGCCCTCCTCCACATTCCCCAGTCTGGATTCCTTTGGCTGGGTAGAAATGGGAGGAGGAACAAGCGTAAAGCACTTCAAAACCCTGAATGTTCCTTCTTTTTGTGCCAGTGGGTGACTTAAAAATGATCGAGTAATGCTTGCAGAGCCTCCCTTGCTGAATTCGGTGTGCTAGGGGTGAGCTAGTCCCCCAAAACCAGGATTTCCACAGATTCCAGGCTTTAAATCAGGAGCTGAATGCCTTGTTAAGGTCTGGAATCGTTCAGGCGCCCTTTGGCTGAAGAGAAGCTGGGAGCATCTTGTCTGAGATCCGAACATTGTCCTACAGGAGCCCGTGGAGGATCTCAGTCCAGAGCACGTCTTGGACATGCAGACAGATTCCCGCTTGCACATCATATTTGGGGGAACGAAAGTGGTGCAGCACATCCCGCCCCAGAAAGCCAGCACAGGGTTGAAACGTATGTACCTGCCCCAATTCCCTCTGGGAGGGCGTCGTGGGCTCGCAGATCCGTTTAAACACCTCGGTGCCGCTTTTGGAGGGTGTGATTGTGTCGGTCTCCTCAGCACTGTCCCTAACGGTTTAATTTAATAAATGTCATGGCAGTCAGCGGGCCCCTTGTAAGTGAGAGGAGGGCGTAGGTGTTTCCTTCAGGTGTTTTGGTGTCGGTCTCCTCAGCACTGTCCCTGACGGTTTAATTTAATAAATGTCACGGCAGTCAGAGCTGCCAGGCCCCTTGTAAGTGAGAGGAGGGTGTAAGTGTTTTCTTCAGGTGTTTTCTCTGTGACAGCCCTGTAAAAGGCTCACACGAAGCTCACTGTCTTTGTTCTTGCTCCCGATCCAGCTGTCGATAACGGGTGCGTGGCATACGCTCTGCGGACTGGCTTCAACACCTCTCAGGTAAGATGGGAACGCGGCTTCTCGCTCCCTCTTGTCGACGATGCTGCTTGTGGCATTGCTGTCGGGAAGTCCTTGTGAAGGACAGCGGGTGGGGGGCGGAATATAAATCAGGGCTTGAAAATTACCTCTTTGGAAGAGGAAGAAATAAGCTTGGTCTCTGTCTGTCGAATAAGCAATCGGATGTTGGATGCAGAAGCCTGGGAGTCAGGATTCAGGGTTCCTGTTGTGACTGGCTGCACTGTCTGTCCTACTGCTCCTGGTTATCCCTGTTTCTGTAGTGATAATTGTTGGGGAAGGGTATCCCAGTGTGTTTGTAAAGATTGGACGTGTGACAGTGTGCTTTTTGGGTTGAAAATTGAAGACTGCTTTAAAGAAATCATCAGCTTAAGGGACTTAGGGACAGGTGTGGGTTGTTTAACGGATGAAACACAGAAATGGGAGTCAGTTCCAGGCTCTGGCACCAAAACACCAGGGTGTAATTTTAAAAGTGGGTTTCGTACGTATTTTTAACAAACTAGTGCATGCTGCAGAGAGAGCTTCTTGCACTGAAGGCTGTTCTTCTCAGGGGAAATTGCTACGTACAATCCTCTTTGGGGTGAAGAGAGTGACAGCCAATAACTTAGAGACCTTCATTTTCATCCTGTTCCTGCTGGTCTTTGCCATTGCTGCTGCAGCATACGTCTGGATTGAAGGTGAGATTTCTTCTTGCCTCTTCCAGGTCTCTACACAGGACTTGTTCCAAAGCCTGTGGGAAGGACAGTTGACGTAATTTCTGAGAGTTACAATAGCTGGGTTGGGCTGCGCCGGTGTTTGAGTGTAGGGACCCACACTGCATTCTGGATGCTTTTCCTCCCCTCCCACAGCCCTTCCTAGGTAGGTGTGCTTCTTTGCAGTACTCAGCTCTGTGGGGCACAGAGGATGTGGAGGTATAGAGGGCCCTTGTCTCATTCCATAGGCACCAAGGATCCTAGCAGGAACCGTTACAAGCTCTTCCTGGAGTGTACTTTAATACTGACTTCGGTCGTTCCGCCTGAACTTCCCATTGAGCTCTCTCTGGCTGTCAACACCTCCCTCATCGCCTTGGCCAAGCTCTGTAAGTACCAAGCCTAAACATGGGAAGGAAAACGGGGCTGTTTCCCTGCGTCTGGAACTGGGGGGACATTATGGAACTGTTGTAGCATCCTCGGTATCCACCCAGTGACAGTACGGGGTTTGGAGCTGGTGTATACGGGGAGGTTTAAACCCCAAAGAAGGTAGGAGGTGCTTTGAGCTGGGTCCTAAATCAAGGGAATCTCTGTAGGAAGGCCTGCTTGCTCAACAGTCCTGTGATACGGCGTTGGGCAGGTGCTGGTACACGGAAGGGGGAGGCCAGTGCTGTCTTGGGCTGCGTCACTGCTATGACTTAGTGTCTGTTCGGGTTTCAAATGCCACAAAAACTCAGACCGGGAGGTTGAGGGTTCGTTAACTACCTGAGACCTGTGCTGGTAGCTCCTGTCTTGTGATAAAAGCCGTTGAGCATCCTGTCCTGGCTTCGTTGTAGCTAATCTCTCACGGAATTTCCTCTCCTCTCTTCTAGATGTGTACTGTACAGAGCCCTTCCGCATCCCCTTTGCGGGCAAAGTGCAGGTTTGCTGTTTTGACAAAACTGGGACGTTAACCAGCGATCACCTGGTCGTGAGAGGAGTAGCTGGGCTCAGGTGGGTGCTGGGTGACGTGCATTACGTGGTCTGCTGGGCTTTGGGCACTGGGGACTCCCAGGCACAAGGGAGATCCCTTGCTTCTCTTCCCCACTGGCATGTTGATGACACCGAGCTGTGTGGGGCAGTGACACGCTGGAGGGAAGGGATGCTATCCCGAGGGATGGACAGGCTGGAGAGGTGGGACCATGTTCAACCAGGGCAACGTCCTGCACATGTGTTGGGGTGATCCCAAGCACAGGCTGCGTGGAGAATGGATCGGGAACAGCTC